TACAATAAGTTGTGAATTATATCTATTTCTCTTTTAATAAGCATAAAGCAATTCTACCATCTATTCTAGATTTGAGACTTATTGGCTCTTCGACAACATATGATAGTTCAAACTATTTTGCTTTAGAAGCTTTTGTTAGGGACCAATAGTCAAGACCTTAGGAAATATCTGTTTTCTTCGAAACTGGTTGCATTATAGAAATTTCTACACATTAAGATACCGATATGTGTTCATTTTTTAATCATGTCTAATATTTAAATGTTGTAATTGATGCTCATTTATGCTGCTTAAGCATTGACATTCCCATGTTGAGTTAAGATAGTGATTTAACAATTTTGTTCTATTTTATACAGCAAAAAACCAACAAAATTCACACTCTGGGAAGATTTTATTGATCATGATGGGAACAAACTACTCGAACTGCTTAAAAAAGAATACCCAATCATTTTTGCTAAAAAAGTTGCAAGACCAAAGTCGTCGTCACGTAAAACGCCTCAAATGCATGCAAGATAGAGTAACAAATTCAATACAGGTAAAGTATATAAGCAATTATATTTTAGTTTTTCATATACCAGACGACCAAATTAGAACTAAATGTTCAAATACATGTAGGATTGACTAACAGATTCAGTACAAGAATCGAAATCAATCCTCCATACCCACAAGCAAATGCGATGAGAACATGGTATTATAATCAATACNGCTGAGAACATGGTATTGTAATCAATACATTATTGGTCGTATATGTGCTTGAACATATACAAGAACTAATTTTGAAATGTTAACATACTTGAAGGGCCCAACAAAATGAACAAATGCTTATTGCGTACACAATGAAGAGCACAGGTCCAACATGCTCTCTTTTATTTGTTCCTTTCGAAGAAGAGATAGTACCGATTGCAGAAATCCGACAGCAAAATCCAGTGAGTGCACTAAATATTCATATATGCATTGTTATAAATTTTTACCTTTATTCTCTAATAAGAAAAAATTAATATGCGACATCATTGTGTTTTCCAGGGTCAAATATTCTACATACATGCTGAAGTCGCACTACAAAATGAGAACCAACGATTTTGTATCCTAGCTTGTTCAGACTGCAAACAACACTTCACACGAGCTATCTCACTATTGCACTAATTGCCGTCAAGCTACCCAATTGGTTCCCAGGTATACATGCAACTTTCACATAACTATTTATATTTAACATTCTACATTCACCATCCTTTTAATTAACCAATCATTTTATCTTACAACTAGGTGCCAATTTGAAGTGACGCTCACAGATCAGAGCGGTTCTGCAACAGCAACTATTGTCGACGAGTATGCAGAAAAAATATTACTTCTCACTTCGGAAGAGATTTATGATATCTGCAATGTCAAGGTACATTGTCAATTTCGAAAAACCACAAATAACTATTTTCTACCAGTTGAGCCCCCTCTCAAACATAAATAACTAATTTCATTTTTACAGAAAGGACTGTTGCCTCTTGCGAACGCACAAAAGCTACTGACTGGCAAGATCTTCAAGATTCAAATAAAAAAGCTGTTTACAAGAAATAATGAGGCAGGAAAGTTAGTTATTTTATCTTTCATAGATAAAAGTAATTCGGTTGTCTCACAAATGCCGGCCACCATCAAGGATGTTGCGGAAGGAAGTAAACAAAAAATTGAACCCGCTGCCCCAGAGAAGCAAGAGCACCCACACATAACAATCAAAGGCAACGGTTCCTACAAATGTAAGGCGGAAATGAATATTTCCCCTCCGAAAAATTGCTGAGAGGTATTTGTAATTTCTGTTCCTTCTAAATTTATTATGAGATTCAACTTTGTAGAAAAAACAAACACCTTAAACGACTATTGTTTGTTAGCATTTTTGCCAGTGAAACATCTTTTGCTACTATTTTGGGATGCAAGTAAAGCCACAACTTGCTGTTGCTTTTGAATACGGTTAAGCTCACTTTTACGACTGCTTTCTAGATATTCCTCTACTCGGAATATGTCGCATCGACACGAGGTTAGTATTCTTGATTACAAATCTACTAATAAGACCAATATTATAGAATGTATGGTCCAGTTCAAATTACTTTGCAAGCCCGCCCCTTTCTATGCTATTTTAGACCCAACTATGAAGCTATCAGGTCCTTCTGGTATGGCGACTGCTTATAGAACTTTAACTAGAAGGCTTAATAAAAATTCTATGAGCTAAGATTTCGAGCTTTTTCTACGGATGGCACAAGTAGAAATAATAGTGGATAAATGTTATCAGTCTAAAAAAAATTGAGATAAAAGCGGATAAACTAATATAGCACTGTACTGTAGGTGCTATTAGCATTGACTTCAAAAGTAGGTACACAACATCATATGTTAATAGCAAGGTATTATTTATTTGGAACAAAATATCCACTCTTGAATGTTGTCTGGTTGGCAAATAATACATTATTTACGTACGTAACAGTATCATATTATTAGATGCATGTGTGTCATATTCTTTATATCATATATGAGAGAATTATTTACATTTTATACTATTTACACATTGACAAATGGTGATGAATTTTTTCTGCTGTATCTAATCTTCTCCTTAGCTTTCTTCTTAGTAGTTCTTCACCAAAATATACCTGTACAGTTATAAAATAATTGTTAGTGCTCAACAAAGTAATGGGTGAAGAACAACAAAGAATAAAAATTTGAAGTTAAATAGTGAGGAATATGCAAGTAAAGGAGTCGAGATATTTTTTTGCTGCATAAGTTTCCTGATTAAATTTTGGCTTCCTTTTTGGTCTCATAAAATTTTGAAATGCCTGATGACATATCTATTCTCCTTGATTTTTTATATACTGACAAATCACTTAAATAACCATTTTATGTCACCATGTAATGTATGTGCCGCTAAAGCTCTCTTTGGGAGGTAAGTCGAGTTATCACAATGCATAAAAATGTCATATTTAGTGTTATCCACCTCTATGCCGACTTCAATGAACCAGCTAACATCCCACAAGAATACTCTCTTGTGGATAGCTGCTCCACTTGTTGATCTGCCTGAGTTGTGCATTTGTGCTAAATCATGAATTTCCTTTCTCAACTTTTTCTCCGTAAATAATGATATCTTCTATTTCTTCAACAACTAAGTAATAACTAATATGGCTACTAAATTAAAGTCCCCATGGATATGTCCCATTAAAGATACGTATTTTGTTGTTATTGAGAGTGAGATGTTCGGATAGAATGTCTTATGCAATTTGGTGGATCTGTTTGGAAGTGTTAAACATAATGTTTCAAATGTTAGTTGGTAAGGTGTCACGTTAAGTTTGAAACAATATAATGTAATATGTATTTTGCACCAGTTTAAATGTTGAGGGAGGAACTTTCCTCTTTAATATGAGTACCTATTTTTGGAAAAATCGAAAAGGACAGCATTATTATGACAGAGTAAATAGAACTTGATGGAAACGTTGTACATAGTAATATGACTCTTTTAATATATTGTTTAATATCTTTCTTTCTCTTCTCTGTTTCAGTTCGTGCTCTGTTTTTGGGTTGGTCAATCCTTCTGGAGCAGCCTGTCTTGGGTACTCAGAGGTACAATTTCACTTTCTTTAAAATGTTATCCGAGAATATGTCAGCCTTTTCACAATACTTAATACAAAGTGGTTTTAACGCTTCATCTGAGTATACATATATTGGCCATTTTCTTGCTCTTTGTTCATTATCTTTTCCCGTCTTCTATAATATTTCATCTTCCTCTGTTCAGATTTTGCTGATTTATGCATTTCAATTAAAAAAATTTTTGCATGCCCATAGGGCTATGCTAATGTTCTTGGTGTGGCGACTGGGCTATTCAAAGCTTAAAGTTAGTATATTTCATTTACCTGTTGTTGCTCGACTTTCCTTAGTTAACATATAACGGTACCCTTAACTATTGATGTTATTAAAGTAGTATGCTTAAGTTTTGGATAATCTAAGAGATCCAAATTATCTCTATTTTTTTAATGGTTTATCTATTACTATGATTTCTTTCATTGTAGTTCTCCTCTAATTTTTCCCTGTCATTCAAATGACTATTTGATGAATTGAGTAGTTTTTTTTTTGGTCCTTCGATGCAGTTCTTACAGACTCTGATAGAATGTGGAATGAATTTTTGTTGAAAGCTAATACTATACAAGTTGTGCCATGAATTGTTATTTGAATATGATTTTCACAAATAAATCTAATATTGGAATTGAGATTGTGTGCTCTAATAAGATCTTTTCCATGTTTGAACTTAATTTTTATTTCGTTGCAGTTACGATCTTGTAGAACGTACTTAATTCCAGCTGACAAATTTTGTACAAAAAGGCTTTCTTAGTTCCTCCAAGTCTGTAGGGGCAAAAACGAACAACTTTGGCTATATGCAAAGAGGCCTTCTTAGTCCATATTTCACATCAGAACATAAACAATGGAATCAAAGACATAATATGCTTGGCTATGTGCTAACCTTTACCTAGCCTACTTGGTTTTGTTAAAGCAAGCTTAACCGAATTACATTACTGATGTTGTTTACAGAGCATTACATATGTTGTCTTTAACTCTTTTTTTTGGCTTTCGTCGATTCAAAAACACTTCAACATGTCAAATTCGTTTTGATGTTCTATTTTCTTTTGCTTTTATGGCCACACTTAAATCACCAATGATTTAATTGATCTTTCTTGACATAAATTTAAATGTTTAAGCTACAAAGTTTATCGTGACTGCTTTTCTGTTTCAATTATTTTCTGTTTCATATATGCTGCTACTATTAAACAAGTACTTTTTTTTATGTTGCTTACCTGAAATTACAAGCATGTAATCTTCGTTGTAACCTTTTAATTTATAACATGTTTATTTGTTTGCAGATATTTTTGGCGAAGAACTAACAGAAAAAGGATCAGAAAAAGACCAAAGACCGCATATGTAAATAGTTGTATCATACATGTTGTAACTGTTGTGGCACTTTAGGCATCCCTTAATGTAATGCTCTTGTGAATGCATATATGTAAATTAAGTGTGCACCACTTAACATAAAATATTGTCTACTAGATTCCATACTTGCATCATTAAATTTTGAGTTAAATAACGTTGGGCTCGTGCTGGCACGGGCTACACCATCCTAGTAGCATTAGAAAACATCCAATTACAAATTTAAATAATTTTGTAATTTATTGACTTCAAAATAATAAATATCAATAATAATAAAATTAGGATTGAAATACCTCTTAAAATAGTATCTGTATATATGTGATACAAGAGTAAATGTTATTTTTTTTTTACTAAAAGTAATAACAGTAATTATGAATTAATAAATAAATATAGAATATATAAATAATGTATTTGATATTATATATTATTTTCTAGAAGCATAATGTATGATTAGGTGAATGACAGATAAAACAAACAAATTATAAAGATTATAATTGTGTGATTCCACAAAGTCGTTTGTTGAACAAGTTTTATTCCAAAAAGATCTAATAATGTACTATAAATTAAAATATTTTTTAATTTTTTAATATTTAAGACTTTCAATTACCTAAATTTTTTATTAACATTTTTCTATTTGAATTATGTAGGTAACAACAACAACATACCAGTATTATTCCATACTATGGGGTCTGAGAGGGTAGTGTGTACGCATAATTTACTCCTACCTTGTGAGGATAGAGAGGTTGTTACATTAATGAAAATATAGACAAGAAGGGACAATGGCAAAAGTCATATAAAAGCAGAATAAATAACAACAAGATAGTAAAGTGACCAACAATGAAAGAAAACAACGGTTAGTCATAAAAACCTACTACCAACAGAAAGCGAGACCGCGTACCAATACTATTGTTATAAATACTCTAGACTACCTACTCTACTATATTAAAGTAAACTAGTCTTATAGTACGCGCATTGCGTGTGTATCTCGTATTAATGAATATAAATTTTATAAAAAACTATGTGTAATTAATTTTTATTAAATAAAAATTAAAGAAAAAACTGAGTTCTTACTATAATAATGACATTGTAGACAACAAATTACGTCGAGAATAAAATCAAGATCGAAAAATATCGCAATAATCATAGTATTTGATTTCAAATAATTTGAATGTACAATCTCTATGATTCTACTTTTCTAGTATAAATTCAAGGGCCTTTGAACTTGATCTTGAATTTGAATTTGATTTATCCGTCGCGAACGCTTTGATTGTTGCCACGAATTTTATCACGAACAAGTAGCATTGATCTTGAATGCCTCGTATTTGATTTAACTTCGTTATTGAGCTTGGATACTTGATTTGTTCTTCGTTCTTGAACTTGAACTTGATTTCTTGAACTTGAACTTGATTTCTTGAACTTGAACTTGGTTGCTTGAAGCCTGAAACTTGTAGAGAAATTTGCGGCGTTTGATCCACGAGCTCTCTCTTGCTTTTTGTTATATCTTCTGGTGTCTTTTTTGAGTTATGAAGACCCCTATTTATAGTTGTGAGAGAGAAGGGTTATGATAAGAACAAACTATTTCTGACCAATCAAATTGAAGTGTGACATGACCGCATTTGATTGGCTAGAACATGTCACTTGCACACGTGGCGCGATTTCATTGGCCCTTTAATTTGACTTGACATGCCTTGTCATTCTAACATGTGGCATGATCTTATTGGCTCTTTTGTTTGACTTGGCGTGCCACATCATATGACACGTGGCACCAAACTGGGCCTCTAGGAAGATGACATCTGGGCTTATTGAAGTGGGCTCATCACTTTATTCAATTAAATGGGTTAGCCCAATGGATCAAGACTTATTTATTTAATTCATATATATTGAACATATATAATTTATTCAATTATATTAGCCCATAATATTTATTTGGACTAGTATATTTAAAATATAATCCAAATTATTTAATAAATTTGAATCCAATAAATTTTATATGTCTACAAATGCCCCTACTTCAAGACTTATCGAGATGTAAGCTAGCGAGCCCCAAAGATTAGGCTTGAAGTTACCGCAAAAATTGTAACATCTCTTCTTTTTTTCAAGAAAAATGGTATTTTATACGTGTATCTTACAGCATGTCGTTCTTCTTCCACAATTGCTAAGTAGATTTGAGCTAAATAATAAGAGATAAAAATTCCAAGTATGGACGTAACTGTTAAAAGTTTTGATACTTATAGTTCGTTTGGCCAAGCTACAAAAATTAGCTTATTTTGAAAGTGTTTTTTCAAAAGTGTTTTTCTCAAAAGTACTTTTGGTGAGAAGCAGTTTGTGTTTGGCTAATTAGTTTGAAAAGCACTTCTGAGCAGCAATTTGACCAAACTTTAAAAAATTGCTTCTAAGTGTATTTTTCTCAAAAGTGCTTCTCAAAAAAGTGTTTTTGGAGATAAGCTACTTTATCTTGCTTCTCCAAAACTGCTTCTGCTTCTTTTTGGCCAAAAGTGTTTTTTTTTTGCCAGAAGCACTTTTGGCCAAAAATTGAGGTGTTTGACCAAGCTTTTGGAAAGAAAAAAAGTGCTTTTGAGGAGAAGCAGAAAAAAGTATGTTCTCTCCAAAAACACTTTTTTGAGAAACACTTTTGAGAAAAATATACTTAGAAGTAGTTTTTTAATTTCAGTCATTTCTCATCAGCTATATACATGCCCTTTGGTGCTCTTCCCAGATATACGTGTATATTTTCTGCTACTCCAGATGTATGCTTTTCTTCTTTTTCAACATAAACATATTCCTTGGCTAAGCACACACAAGAAAAGGCATAGAGAAACGATCCATCACAAGATCGAAATCAGGTAAGAGTTTCTTTCTGAAGTTCAGATTTGAGTCTGATTTAATTCTTTTTGGTTTTGGCATTTGTTGGCCTGTGAGTTGTCCAGTTTTCTTCTCAAATCTCTTGAACTTTCAGGTAAATTTCTTAGTCTTTAATATCAATTTTGTTATTTTCTATGTGTTGTTTATCCTTTTTTTGTTCCAATTTGTTTCAACTCAGACAACATCGGGAAATTTCAAAGTTAGGGCTTTCATGAATGAAATTGGGGGAATATTTGGGGTTTTGATAATTGGTAAAAGTCTGTTTTTCCCCCACCGAGAAAGCAAATAGAACCCAGGTAATAATCCCTTTTAGAAGTTAAAATTTGATTTTGATCTAAAACTATTTTGCTCGATCATTGCTAATGTTTCTAATTTCTACTTAGTTTCCTCATCTCTCTGAAAATTAGCTTCTTTTTCTTTTTACATATCTCCCTTTTCTCTTTGATTCTGGGGTTTGTTTTACCTGTAAGTTTTGCTAAGTTTCTTGGTGATGGGATTTCGAAGATATGTGTTGGTTTTTGCAATTTTCCTCTTTGTGTTTTAGGTACGTGTGATTTGGCGGATGATTTTTTCTTCTCTCTTTGTTGCTTTCTTTGTTTTATCCATTTATGTTATTTTGGGCCTTTCTCCAACTTTTTTTTATTACTGATGTTGTTGTTAATTTATCTTTATTTCATGTTC